AAAACAGTGCTGGTCCCCAGTAAGCACCAACGTGATAGCTACCAAGGGGGCCCTCAGCAAAAGCATAATACCCAAGCAAGGCTGAAATGTCTGTAATCCAAGAAAGCTATTCTCCCCAAATGACAAGCAAAGCCTACTCTGGCAGAAGTTCCAAAAATAATCAATGAAAGTATGGTTTCAAATTTGGCAAGATAATCAAGATGGACCCAACTGATGACCAAAGAGTGAACATTTTCAAGTTTCCTCTTCTTTATAATAGATCAATAAACAAAGCAATATTCTGTGTGTCCCTACATGAGTTGAAACAAATCAGAGCCTGGATTCACCTTGTTAGAATACTCATTACAAATTAAAATTAATTAGCATAACGAGGAAGCTCAAAAGCCGGCAGAGGGGACATACCTTTGCTTTTCCTTTAGGGACATAGTAGATACCAGATGCTCGCAAAAGAAAATAACGCTTTTTCCAGGACTTCTTGCCATCATCTTTCAACCAAAGGACTCCTTCAATTTCTGGTACAGTTACAGAACTTCCACAAAAACATTCCTAAAATGAGAAGATGATTTGGAAAGACATATGATCCTTGGATTCTCAGAATAAAGTTGTATTTGCCACTGTGAAATCCATGAACTATAATTAAACCCAACAGCTTTGTATTAAAACCATGCTGCTAATTTTACCTCAATTAGAACTTTCTATTCCAAACATAATATAAATTTATTTCAGAACTACTATGGCACTTTTAGCTAACACTGTTTTGAAGTAACTAAGTTGAAATGAAGTAACTAAGTTGTAAATACTTAAATGTATTTGTAAACAGCAGTTACACTAAATTTAATAAAAGTGTCAGAGCTAACATAAGCATTGGACTTTATTTTTCTTCAAATTAATAACACATTTAGATTAGCTGTCAAGCTAAATAGGAATGTACTTTAAAAGAAAGCAACATGCAAAGTGAATGATTAAACTTTCACAATTTAAGAAATGTATCAATTTATATGACTTTAAAACAAAGAGGGCATTTATTTTTGAAATATTTAATATAAAGTTGAAAGGAAAATAAACTCAAATTTCTGAATTCTGTCTATATTTAGATAAAAAATTAATTTAAAAATAAAAAGCAATCATGAATTTGATAAAAGAAAAATAGAAATCCTGACTAAACATTAACATAGTACATTTTGAGCCTTAAAAATTTATTTCTTTCTTCCCAAAGTACAGAAAAAATAGGAATTATAAAGAGCATTTTTTTTAATTGCAGCTATTTCTTAATAGCATCGCTATAAAAAGCTGAGTGCTAATCTTAATTTTCCTAATTGCCTTGTTGGTAAGTAAGAGTTTATTCAGGTTTTCAAACATATTAACTTCTTTGATGTTAGTTCTCTAAAATCAGCAAAAGCCAAAAAGCCAAAAATTCAATTATATTTGAATTTGTTTTATTATTCTTCAAGACAAGGAGATGTACATATTTTTAAAAATGATCATTATGATTTTAAAAATTGAGTTATTTAAGGCTAAGGCTTGAAATATTTTGTAAATAGCTAATTATATTCAAATTTCTCTCTGGGAATGCAGATAAAACAGCACAATCACATGTTTCATTGACCAGCCTTTTTTTCCACTCATCAACCCCTAAAAGCTCATGACTCCTTTTAGTACACCAGGACACTGCTTGGCAAAATAATAGCTTTTAAAAGGTTCTTCAGTGGCCTAACATTCACACAGGTGAACTCTCTCCATTAGGCTTTGGAAGAACATAGGATTCTTTCGTTAACAATTGCAATTATAAATATGTATATTTATACTTGCCCTGACATACTTGACTTCAAAAAAGGTACTTAATATTTTATTATAATGTACAAGAAAAAGTGGGGGATGATATGCGACAGTGAAGAATCATACCTCCAATAGCACTTCTTTGTTTCTATCTGCCATCTCAGCTGTTTCCTTTTTCCCCAGAAGATAATTCTGGAAAAATGAATAAATGCAAGTTAAAGGATAAATCCATTCTATTATTCCCTTGGCACAGGTGCATATATGATTTCTTTTAGGGACATGGCAACTCTGTGTCAATTTCTGCCAATGAAGAGTGAGAGGAACACTCTTTGAAGAGCAACCTGTGCATGGGAAACATCACTAAAATGCTTAATTCTCCTCTTTACCATACCGTTTATCTTGAATTATTTTATAAACTTCCCTCCCCAAATCCTCAAGTGGTATTATATCTAACAGCTGGCAAATATGTTTTGGAATATCTAATGAAAGCTACATGTACAGGACCTAAAAGCTTTACAAATTATTAAGTACAACAAATAAGGCAAGTTTCCTTAAAATATGCTGAGCTTAACCGATCCAGATGCAGAAAATTTAATCTGTTCTGGCTTTCAAAGAAGAAATCCCAAATTCTCTGAGACTATCACAATTTTGTTTGCTTGACTGAACTAAAATCTGAATGCTAATTAGTCTCATGAAAAATTTTTTTCACAATCACCCATAAAAAGATCTGCTGGTATTTCCAAATATGTCTTCTTCCCTAAAAATATCCAGTAAAGATGTGTTATGAACAAGCCACTTGAAGGATAACTATTCGACACCTTTAACACTGCTACAATTTCTCCTCATTACTACTTTTTAGGTTGTTTTCTTTCATCTACTGATTTGTATAAAATATTTGGGGATTAGGAAGTATTAATCAAACATTATTTTGGAATAAGCAAAGATGCCCAAAAAATCAAGGTGACATATGTTACAATGTGGTACCATTTATAATCAAGGTTACTGGGATTTAAAAAAAATAATAAATAATAATAATTTTTTAAAAATCAAAATAAGCTGTAAACTGGATAAATGGCTGAAGTAGAGAAACTTAAATACCGTATTTCCCCATATATAAGACGCTCTCATGTATAAGACGCACCTTAATTTTGGGGCCCTAAATTTGAAAAAAATGTATTACATAAAGTTATTGAACTCAAGTTTTATTCATCATAAAATTCATACAACTCCTCATCAGTTGTGGGAAATGCAAGTAAAAAAATNTATGTTTGTATAGATAGTGAATTGTTATGTTATACACCTGAAACTTATATATTATTATTAACCAATGTTACTTCAATTTAAAAAAGAAAAAAAAAAGGTATATAAGCTTTCAAATCCCACTATTTTGAGGGGTATTTACTTTTTTCTCCTGTGATATTTCCATGCACATAATATTAAAAATAAATTAGTATACCTTTTCTCCTGTTAAAAAACAGTTAGTGGTCATAATTTTGGTTGTAACAGACATTGTTGGTTGCCTGCCCTGCAGCTATCTTCTCCCTATCGCTTTTCTGACAGAGCCCCAATTTTGTTTGGATGTCCATCCCTTACCTCAGAGGGTGAATTCTGACTAGTCTAAGCCAAAACAGTGGCTTTTTTCCTTGCCAGTGATGGGTTTAAGTGTGGGCATGTACTCTGGGCCAATGACCCTCAAGGGGGAGGGCTGTTGGTAGGTCCTGGAAAATACTTCCTTTCTCTTAAAAAACACCAAGTATAGGGAGAAATAGTGCCTTATCTTCTGATGGATTTTCTGGGTCACCATGTGATGCCTAGAACTGCAGTGGCATCTGTGACTGTAAGGTGAGCCAGCCTGAGAATAAGCTGATACGCAGAAGATGAACAGGGAAAGATGGAAAAAACTGGGGTTCCCACTGATAATCCTAAGCTGTTAAAATAACCAATTCTTACTGTCTTCATGCTATGAGACCCCCAAATAACTTTTATTTATATGGGTTATGTCTATTGATATTTACCTTATAAGAAATTAAAACAGAAAAATTAAAATAAAAGAATACACAAATACACATTCCACTACCAAAGAAAGCAAAGATATCACATGTTATGTGACCTCTTTAAAAACTCAATTTTACATCTAGGAGAGAAAGAGTGTAAACGGCAAATAACATCTTAGCATTGTTAGAAGAAGAAGAATGCCATCACAAACCCCTTGACAAGGATCTCAGGGACTTCCAGGGGACCTTGGACCTCATTTTGAAAACTGCTGGATTAAGCTACTTTGTGCTGACTTTTAAAAAATTATTTGCTGTTGTAACCTAAATGATACAGTGGTATTCTCCAAGAAAGGATTACCTAATAAAGGGTTACCATTACAATACACATAATTTTATCAAAACAGTCAAAACTCTACCCCAAAACCCTAAACAAACACCATCCCCTCAAACCCAATTGACAATTTTCTGAGAAAAGCAAAATCAAATGACATAAACATGCAGACCTAAGTAGTTACCAAAAGGTATCTAAGATGGAACCAATGAGAAAAACTTAAATATCTCCATAATTATCCTGAATTTTTAAATGTTGTCTTTGTTGATATTCCAACAGATCACTAAAAATTCACTAAAAATATCAGTTTTCAAAGTACAGATATAATCGGTATGAGAAAAGCTAAAATTTTAGATAAAGGAGGAAGAAAACCTCACTAAAAACAGCTCAGGTAGGTTACAATACACACATGAGTTATCAGGGCTATGGTTGGGGGAGAAGGGAAAGAGACAAAAATTATTTCTGGACAAGATGAGAGACAGTCCACTTTGACCTTGGGCACAGTGCCCTCTGATGGTTCTGCTGAGTAAGTACAGGAAAAAAACTAAAAATACCTATGTCCCACATTTGGCTGTGATCTCAATTTTCCTAAAATAAGCTTGCTATTAAATGAAAGTCTCAAATTTATAATCAAATCTATTTTATATATCATGATTCAAAGCTTACAATCAGTATCCATTTCTCAGTAGCATCAATCTAATAAGGGCTACATAGCTACGGGTCAGCTGTGGTATAACACACACACTTCTTTTCCTTACTATCCTTCACCATTCCTTTAAAAACCTATAAAACAAAAGCAAAAATAGTATACTCAACGGAGATCCAAACTATTCTAACCTCCAGTAACCTACTCTATGCCTAACATCAATTAAAATTCCTAAAAAGAGATACATATTTACCTTTAGCACCAGACAATAGTCCGTAGGTGCTTTGTATTTGTTCCGATAGTCCTGTCCATAATAAACATTGACATGATCCAGCTGGAGAAAGCACACCAAATCCCGAGAGACCTAAGATAAAAACACCCAAAAGACTGAATTAACAACAATGTGTAAACAAGCAAATATCATAACTGGTAACAGTTTCTAGTTCAGAATCAAAACTTTACCAAGTAGAAATTACTGCTATTTTGCAAAAGAAAAGACAGTAGAGTCTCTGTAAATGCTTCTTCTTTAACCCATGATGCAACAAAAAAGGCAGTCCATTTCACTTACTGTCTTGCTATTCGGTACGAACACTGGTTTGCTTGGAAAAGGGTGGTATTTTAAAGAGACTTTAAATATATTAAATACAATACAGTATCATAGAGCTCTCTGGAAAGAAGAAAATATGTAGTTCAGTGTCTATAAACACATATCTTCAAGTACAGTAGTTCTCAAGTTGGGATTTCTTTACCAGTTAAAGAGGGGCAATAATATATACCTCTCAGGATGGCAGTAAAGACTGAATGAGGTGATACTGTAAGAAGCTTAAAACAGTGCTGGTCCCCAGTAAGCACCAACGTGATAGCTACCAAGGGGGCCCTCAGCAAAAGCATAATACCCAAGCAAGGCTGAAATGTCTGTAATCCAAGAAAGCTATTCTCCCCAAATGACAAGCAAAGCCTACTCTGGCAGAAGTTCCAAAAATAATCAATGAAAGTATGGTTTCAAATTTGGCAAGATAATCAAGATGGACCCAACTGATGACCAAAGAGTGAACATTTTCAAGTTTCCTCTTCTTTATAATAGATCAATAAACAAAGCAATATTCTGTGTGTCCCTACATGAGTTGAAACAAATCAGAGCCTGGATTCACCTTGTTAGAATACTCATTACAAATTAAAATTAATTAGCATAACGAGGAAGCTCAAAAGCCGGCAGAGGGGACATACCTTTGCTTTTCCTTTAGGGACATAGTAGATACCAGATGCTCGCAAAAGAAAATAACGCTTTTTCCAGGACTTCTTGCCATCATCTTTCAACCAAAGGACTCCTTCAATTTCTGGTACAGTTACAGAACTTCCACAAAAACATTCCTAAAATGAGAAGATGATTTGGAAAGACATATGATCCTTGGATTCTCAGAATAAAGTTGTATTTGCCACTGTGAAATCCATGAACTATAATTAAACCCAACAGCTTTGTATTAAAACCATGCTGCTAATTTTACCTCAATTAGAACTTTCTATTCCAAACATAATATAAATTTATTTCAGAACTACTATGGCACTTTTAGCTAACACTGTTTTGAAGTAACTAAGTTGAAATGAAGTAACTAAGTTGTAAATACTTAAATGTATTTGTAAACAGCAGTTACACTAAATTTAATAAAAGTGTCAGAGCTAACATAAGCATTGGACTTTATTTTTCTTCAAATTAATAACACATTTAGATTAGCTGTCAAGCTAAATAGGAATGTACTTTAAAAGAAAGCAACATGCAAAGTGAATGATTAAACTTTCACAATTTAAGAAATGTATCAATTTATATGACTTTAAAACAAAGAGGGCATTTATTTTTGAAATATTTAATATAAAGTTGAAAGGAAAATAAACTCAAATTTCTGAATTCTGTCTATATTTAGATAAAAAATTAATTTAAAAATAAAAAGCAATCATGAATTTGATAAAAGAAAAATAGAAATCCTGACTAAACATTAACATAGTACATTTTGAGCCTTAAAAATTTATTTCTTTCTTCCCAAAGTACAGAAAAAATAGGAATTATAAAGAGCATTTTTTTTAATTGCAGCTATTTCTTAATAGCATCGCTATAAAAAGCTGAGTGCTAATCTTAATTTTCCTAATTGCCTTGTTGGTAAGTAAGAGTTTATTCAGGTTTTCAAACATATTAACTTCTTTGATGTTAGTTCTCTAAAATCAGCAAAAGCCAAAAAGCCAAAAATTCAATTATATTTGAATTTGTTTTATTATTCTTCAAGACAAGGAGATGTACATATTTTTAAAAATGATCATTATGATTTTAAAAATTGAGTTATTTAAGGCTAAGGCTTGAAATATTTTGTAAATAGCTAATTATATTCAAATTTCTCTCTGGGAATGCAGATAAAACAGCACAATCACATGTTTCATTGACCAGCCTTTTTTTCCACTCATCAACCCCTAAAAGCTCATGACTCCTTTTAGTACACCAGGACACTGCTTGGCAAAATAATAGCTTTTAAAAGGTTCTTCAGTGGCCTAACATTCACACAGGTGAACTCTCTCCATTAGGCTTTGGAAGAACATAGGATTCTTTCGTTAACAATTGCAATTATAAATATGTATATTTATACTTGCCCTGACATACTTGACTTCAAAAAAGGTACTTAATATTTTATTATAATGTACAAGAAAAAGTGGGGGATGATATGCGACAGTGAAGAATCATACCTCCAATAGCACTTCTTTGTTTCTATCTGCCATCTCAGCTGTTTCCTTTTTCCCCAGAAGATAATTCTGGAAAAATGAATAAATGCAAGTTAAAGGATAAATCCATTCTATTATTCCCTTGGCACAGGTGCATATATGATTTCTTTTAGGGACATGGCAACTCTGTGTCAATTTCTGCCAATGAAGAGTGAGAGGAACACTCTTTGAAGAGCAACCTGTGCATGGGAAACATCACTAAAATGCTTAATTCTCCTCTTTACCATACCGTTTATCTTGAATTATTTTATAAACTTCCCTCCCCAAATCCTCAAGTGGTATTATATCTAACAGCTGGCAAATATGTTTTGGAATATCTAATGAAAGCTACATGTACAGGACCTAAAAGCTTTACAAATTATTAAGTACAACAAATAAGGCAAGTTTCCTTAAAATATGCTGAGCTTAACCGATCCAGATGCAGAAAATTTAATCTGTTCTGGCTTTCAAAGAAGAAATCCCAAATTCTCTGAGACTATCACAATTTTGTTTGCTTGACTGAACTAAAATCTGAATGCTAATTAGTCTCATGAAAAAATTTTTTCACAATCACCCATAAAAAGATCTGCTGGTATTTCCAAATATGTCTTCTTCCCTAAAAATATCCAGTAAAGATGTGTTATGAACAAGCCACTTGAAGGATAACTATTCGACACCTTTAACACTGCTACAATTTCTCCTCATTACTACTTTTTAGGTTGTTTTCTTTCATCTACTGATTTGTATAAAATATTTGGGGATTAGGAAGTATTAATCAAACATTATTTTGGAATAAGCAAAGATGCCCAAAAAATCAAGGTGACATATGTTACAATGTGGTACCATTTATAATCAAGGTTACTGGGATTTAAAAAAAATAATAAATAATAATAATTTTTTAAAAATCAAAATAAGCTGTAAACTGGATAAATGGCTGAAGTAGAGAAACTTAAATACCGTATTTCCCCATATATAAGACGCTCTCATGTATAAGACGCACCTTAATTTTGGGGCCCTAAATTTGAAAAAAATGTATTACATAAAGTTATTGAACTCAAGTTTTATTCATCATAAAATTCATACAACTCCTCATCAGTTGTGGGAAATGCAAGTAAAAAAACCTATAACCACTGTATAAGATGCACCCAGTTTTTAGACCCCAAATTTTTCGAAAAAGGGTGTGTCTTATACATGGGGAAATACGGTAAGTACTTTTTTTTTGATGGATGAAAAACTCACTAAATAAATAGCTGGGTTCAACACAGCTCTGGAATAGAGAGCAGAAACCTGGTAATTCCATGGAGTTACTTCTGTTTCCTGAAGGGCTCTCACCCCATCTGCTCTGCGGGCTGGTAACCTCTTTGAGGCCTGACACCTGGGGCCCAGCAGACCTTTCACCTCAGTAGTAGTAAATGCTCCCATGGGGCTTTACAGCCACAATGTTCTACGAGGTAGATGCCAGTCTTTTAACTCTATTAACTTAGCAGTAATATAATATAAGATGGACATTTTAAAATCCTGACCTCTGTAAGTCATTGAGTCTTACCTGTGGGTTTTTGAAAAGTGCGTATTTTTCTATACGTTCCATAAATATAAGCTTGTTTTGACTATCTCTTGTCCAATTAAGGAGATTTTCAACCAAGTTTTCATGGTCTTCAAAGATTCTCTCTGTCCCAAAATAAAATATCAATATTTTGTTAGTATTCATCAGGACTGCATTAAGGACATGAAACCTTGCAAAGTAATTCAGGGCAGAACCACAGAATCTCGGACACTACAGCCCTGGGCCCTTCGAGGTTATCTGGTCTTCCCTCTATTTTCAAATAAGGGAACATGCCCTAATGGTGTTATGTGACTTCAGCAAGGTCACACAGCTGCTACATGAAAGAATTAGGATTACAGTCTAGGTCTCCTAACTTCTAGGTCTTCTTTAGCCGTCAGCCTTTTCCCTTAAAATAAACATGTTACTTGCATTTCATTAATCCTAATGTTAAGTATTTCCAACAGTATTCAGTTCTTGTAATTTTTGAAATTCCCAAGATGATTTCCTTTTTGATCTATGGGTTTTAATTTTAAAAAGAAATACATTCTCTAATTTCTAAATTAGAAATCAAAAAACATGTCCTATATACTGAACATATACATTTAAAGAACATATGCTGGATGGATACTGATTTTTTGAAATTTCTTGAGAGTTGCTTATGCCCTCATACTTGAATAATTTTTGGAAATATTCCATTTCTGCTTGAAAAGAATGTACATTTTCTTGTTATTAGAGTTCTAAATACATTTCCTAGGTCAAAAAAATTATTTTTCAAATCTCTCATAGTGTTTTTTTGTCTGCCTGATTTTATTAATCACTGAACAGATTCTTAGGTGAAGAGAATCTACTATGAATGCTGACTTGTGAATTTCTTCTGGTAATTCTGTCAACTTTCGCTTTATACACTTTAATCCTATTAGATAAAATTTAGAATGACGTGTGGTTCTTTATTGCATTTTGCTTAAAGTCTATTTTGTCTGATATTAACAAAATTATCTTTCTTTTGATTAGTGCCTTTTCACATTCCTTTTACTTTCAACCCTTGTGTGTCTTTAGGTAATAGGCCTTTTATAAACAACAACAGCTGCATTTTGTTTATTCATCCTTTCTAATAATCTTTGTTGTTTAATTAAATAATTTACCTTATCTTTAACATAATTTGTTTCCACCATCTTATTTTGGGCTCTTAGTAGTCCCTTGTTTTCTTTTATTCATTCAACAAATATTAAATGGCCACATAATATATTTGAAGCACTGTGCCATATATGATTAAATAATAGTTATTTAAGACAGCATAGTCAATTATATAAAAGGTAACACAGAAATATTATATGGGTATTTAACTTACGGCCATGGAAATATTCCAAAACTAGCATCCAAACATTTTCTGTTTATCAAGATACTACTATATCTATGAACTCAAACCTTTCTAATCCTCTAACAGCAGTTATAGATGAGTATTTTTTTTTTTATCCTTTTTTTTTTTTTTTTTTAGCTGAGCCATCCTGCCATCTGTTGGCAGCTCAGCAGCTGCTCAGCTCGGGCCAAAACTCAAACCGCTGTTGCTCAGAGCTTGCACTCTTGAGCGAGCTCCTAACCAACTGAGTCACTCAGCCGGCCCATAGATGAGTATTAATAGAATATATTTTATGCATGTTAATGAAGCTCTAACAACTTATGGTTTAATTTTGAAGGTTGTGTATATGTGTTCTGAAAGTGTTAATAATTACATTTTTATTTCTTTGGAGACTGCTGTGAAATATTTAAAGGTATAATAAGTAGTAAGAGGAATGCAAATACGTATTTTAAATAAAATTCAGTTGAAATTGATTATTTATTCAATAAAGCCTAATAATGATTGCAAGGTTTTGGTAATTATACAACTAATATTAAAAAAAAATTTTTTTTTAAAGAGTCAATAATGGTATAAAAAATGAGGAATTTTTAAAATTAGAAAACACCATACCAAGCTACAGATAGTAGAAAACTAAGATTTAGTACACCTAACTAAAAATAACATGTGCTTTATGTTTCTCCTGAAAGTCAAATGCTGGTATAGAGTTCAACACAAATATGAATAAACATAATGGTCTTTAGTAAATGTGTTTATCTCTGTAGTTATTTGAAGGGGAAAAGTATTTTGTTACCTTAAAATATTTTGTTGTTCTAGCTATAAGAAAATCTGAAGTGATCTCAAAATGATCTCATATTCAAATAAATCTCAAAATATTTGAAAGAAAGATAATGTAAAAAGCCAAGGTTATATTATAGAAAAAAATATATAAAGATGTCTCAAGGTGCTTTTATCAACATGAAAACTACTGGAATTAGATAGAAATTAAAAAGTAACGAAAGCAACGATATTACTAACCCATTTGCAACTCAGAGATGGTTTCCACCAGCGACCAGTCTAAACTATAGCCACAGTGGGATTTGTCCATCAGGTTATCCAGCACTTGTCTCACTGTCTGCCTCTCATCCACCATCATTGTTTTAGAACTATCGTCAGACATGTGGACTCTAATCACCAGCTGTAACACGTTAAAAAAAAAATGAAATGCAAACCAAAAAATAGGCATTCTAGAAATATTTTCCAGTATTGAGTAATGTTTTAAATATAAATTAAAACTAATAATGACTTTATTATCCAAGAAAAATACTCTAAAATTAGGTATCAAATAACCTGAACAAATTTAAAGCCTTCTTAAAACTACAACAGGTAAGCTTATAATAAGACTATTTTGTTTTACTCTTTTAGAATAATTTAAAACCAGAAAGTTGTTTCTTCTATAATCATTTTAGCCATAAAAAATACATGTGAAAAGTATATTAGGAAGAAATACCCCTCTATCTCTCCAGATCTTAGAGATACATTATATAAACAAGGCAATTATTTATAAATCCATAAAACTGATAAAAATCCCAGACCAGGAAAAAGCCCAAATATCACCTTTTTCACTTGCGCCTCTTTAATTTTCTCTAGGGCAACTCTGATCTTCTCAGCTTTCAATTTTGCTGCTTGTTCTTCCTGTGAACACAAAGCACTTCAGATAAACTAATGCTAAAATAATGAGAATTTTTTAGAAGTCTTTTTATCGTTAAGGATGTTGCTAGCATTGAATTTCAGTAAGAATATAATTTCACAGTTATGTAGAGCACATTTAAAAAAATAACCTTGTTCACAAAGTGAGAGCCGACAATAAAGGAACATTGTTTAAGATGCAGACTTGAAAGTTTCTTATAATAAGGCTAGATCTCATATTCTAGAGAAAAAGAAATCTGTGACTAAATGAATGAGTTTGATTCTGTCAATCTGAAGCAGATGAATTTCACATTCTGGAGCAGGGGAAACATGAGTGTATAATGGGCTGCCAGTTTGTTAGACCTGCACAATCCCTGATTCTGAATTTATTCCCCCTCCAAAGCATAGGCAATCTTTTGCATATTAATGTTTTGTTCTGTTACATTGAAAATGTACTATCATCATAAAAGTAGCAAAAATAGTATCAATTTCTTTGCAACCATATAAAAATCCTTGATAAAAAATGTAGTTATATTGGTATACATTTGTATACCAATACAAATAAAGGAGGTTGCATTATAGTCTATGTTTTACTCTTTACTCTGCTTTGGAAAAATCACACAACATAATCAATGTCTCATGTCTGTCTGTAAACCCAAATTTGTTTCTATTAACTCATTGATAATTTTTTAAATGTTAAATATAATTTTCCAAATATTTAATGTCTAGTAACTTTATAAAATTTAGATAAGTAGTAATAAAATTATCAGGAACTAAAAATATTCTTAAAGCATTTGTCTATTTTTTTTCTAAAATAACATACAGTAGTACTATAATACTGGTACTTACTTGTACTTTCCAGCAATAGGCCATAGTACACTGCAGCATTAGTCTCCAGTTGAAAAAACTCATGTAAGTAAACTTCTGCTCATGAAAAATTACACTCTAATTCTAAACTTTTGATTTCTCTGGGAAATATCTAAGAAAAATATAAAATGCCATCTTATATATTCCTTGATTTAATACAAGACTTTTAAAAAAGAAAAAACCTAATTATATCAGCCAAACTTTATCTGCTCTGGATTGTGATTAAAAACCACAATCCATGTGTTATTCTTCATTAAAAACCTAAAGCTTTCAGGGAAAAACCCCTCAAAACTCAATTCATTAATAGATTTATTCACTGTTCTCCTAAATTCTGTTGGCTTTCCTGTTTCTGAGCTGCTTCTCTTTCCATTTCATACTCTAGGCTGTCTCCCTTCCTTTCAAGCTTAGTATTTACTATTCTGTGGAACAGAGAAGAAAACAGTGGTTAGGGAAGACAGTGGGCTTGTTTGTCAGAAATCTGATCCTTTTCAATGAAAGGAGCCAGTAAATTAACATAATAACCAAGGTCTGGAAATACTATCTGTAAACCCAATTAGACACAGAACAAAGGACTTTATTTTAACAATGGAGAAGGGTAAGATAAGACTTGACTCTTAGACTATTATAGATATATTCATTTAACTGAAAGATTAAATCATTCTATCCCCTCTTTATGCAAATAAACAATAACAGAATTATAAAATATGTTGACTGAATATTTTAATATAATTTTTTTTCCTTTTTAAGGAAGTTTATAAAATGAGAAAACTAAACTGTTAATTTAAATCTCAAAGTCTGATGAGAAAAAACTGATATGTAGAATCGAAGCGTTGTGTATTTGGAATCTAAACGTAAATTTCTAAAAGGCCAAATTCTTTTTATACTGTAATTAATTTGCAGAGGTAAAAAAAATAGAATGTGTCCTCAAAGTCATAAAACAGTTTTAGGAAAAAAATATTCAAGAGAGTGAGAAGATAAGCCATAGACTAAGAAAAACATATTTGTAAAATACTTATCAGACATCTGATAAGGGACTATTATCCAAAATATACAAAGAACTCTTAAAACTCAACAAGAAAATGAGCAACCCAAATTTAAAAATGAACAGACCTGAACAGACAACTCAAAGATGGCAAATAAGACTACGAAAAATGCTCAAAATCATGTCATTAGGGAACTGCACATTAAAATAATGAGATACCACCACACACGTATTAGAATGGCCAGAATCCAAAACACTGACATCATCAAATGCTGGTGAGGATGTGGAGTAACAGGAACTCTCATGCATGGCCAGTGGGGATACAAAATATACCTTCACTTTGGAAGACAGTTTGGTGGTTTCTTATACAACTAAACACGCTCTTAAGATACAACCTAGTAATCATGCTTAATATCTACCCAAATGAGTTGAAAACTTACCTCCACCCAAAAACCTGCACCTAGATGTTTATAGCAGCCTTATTTATAAAGTGTCAAAACTTGAAAGCAACCAAGATATCCTTCAGTAGGTGAATGGATAAACTGCGCTGCATCCAGACAATGAAATATTACTCAGTGCTAAAAAGAAATTAGCTATGAAGCCATGAAAAGACATGAAAGAAACTTAAAAACGTATTACTAAGTGAAAGTCGCCAATCTGAAAAGGCTACATCCTGTACAATTCCAATTATATGATATTCTGAAAAAGGCAAAATTAGGGCCGGCCGAGTGGCTCAGTTGGTTAAGAGCTCGCTCAAGAGTACGAGCTCTGAGCAACAGTGGTTCGATTCCCAGCCTGAGATGAGCTGCTATTGAGCTGCCAACAGGTGGCAGGAAACAAATAAATAAATAAATAAATAAATAAAATAAAAGAGCGCAAGCTCTGAGCAACAGGATCGCCGGTTGGATTCCTACATGGGCCAGTGAGCTGCGCCCAAGCTGAGCTGCCAACAGGTAGCAGGATGGCTCAGCTGGTGAGAGCACGTGCTCTTAAGAATTAGGTTGCCGGTTCCACTTCCGCATGGGATGGTGGGCTGTGCCCACCCACAACTAAGATTGAACACGGCACCTGGAGCTGAGCGGCTGCGAGCTGCCTATGGGCAGCTGGATGGTGACTGGACTTGGAGCTGAGCTAGCTGTGCCCTCCACAACTAAGACTAAAGGACAACAACTTGGCTGATCCCCTTTCCCAATTCCCCGACTCTGTTTCTCTTCCCCAATTCCCCAATAAAATCTTTAAAAAAAAGAAAGAGAGAAAGCAAGAAAGAGAAGGGAGAAAGAGGGAAGGAAGGAAGGAAGGAAGGAAAGAAGGAAAGAAGGAAGGAAGGGAGGAAGGGAGGGAGGGAGGAAGAATTACGAATACAATAAAAAGATTAGTGGTGGTCTGGGGTTGGGGAGAGGGAGGGATTAACAAGTGCAACACAGAGGATTTCTGCAGGAGTGAAACTATTCTATACGATATTGTAATGGTTGGTATGTCATTATATTTTTGTCCAAACCCATAGAATGTACAACACCAAGAGTGAACTCTAATGTAAACCACAGACTGGGTGATAATGATGTGTCAACGTAGGTTCATTAATTATAATAAATGTCCCACTCGTGAGGGATGCTGACAATGGAAGCAGTGCATGTGTGGGGGCAGGGGGTGTACAGGAAATCTCTGTGCCTTCCTCTTAATTTTAATGTGAACCTAAAACTGCTCTAAAAAATAGTCTATTCAAAAAAGGAATATAAGTATTTAAATATTAAATTCTGATATTGGTTATTATACATTTTATTATGAAAATTTATTTTCATAACTCCCATTTTAGTATATTATTTGTCAAACACAATCATGAAGCACTGACATAAAAAGTCATTCAATTATAAGATAAGCTTAAACTCCCAGATCAGTTTCTGTGCCATAGACTAACAAGAAAAAAACTGACACACTGTAAGAAAGGTTTATAAAAGCAAGAGATAAAGAGATACATGCAACCAATGAACATACATTAAACCAATCAGATTTCGTAGCAGTCAATAAGAAACCATTTTTAGGTAAAGCAGCTAGGCGGGGCTATTTTAACATCCAAATTCAGCAATTCTTCCATTTGCTTAAAATACTACCCTTTAATAATTACATAAATTGGTCTGTGTTAAAACTGTATCAGATTCTAATTTAAGAGCTATGTACTTAATTTCAACCTAGGCAAATTTTAGTTTATTGTTCCCCAGTTTATTAACAAGGATATCCTTGCTAAGGGCTTTTCGAAGAAACAATTGAACAGGATAAATCTAACTTTTGGATTATATCATCACTGGAGCAAAAGTGGAAATAAAAATATTTATATCAAACTGCAAAATCCATAGTATTTTATTCTTCGCATGGATAATAAACTCTTCCTCAGAAAGTATGATTTTCATCTACTATATTTAAACTATAATCGTATCTTTTAACCATAACAACCTAAGAAAGGAAGAAACTGTTTTAAGCTTATAGAATATTGTGAAATACAGGAAAGATCAATAAATCTTTGCTGATGTATTTAGATTATACACTGAGAATATATCTAATAGTTTATTTATAAAGGCAATGCAAATCTATGTTTAATGTCTGCAGCCCAAGTTTAATACAAAAAACAAAGCTTTATTCATCTCATGTTCTCTTTGTTAAAGCTGACAAGCTTGGGTCTAGGGTCTTCTGCCCTTACCTTCGGACTACCCCTTTCTTCACATTGTTTGTCCCACAGCCATCCTATATATAAGTAAAAGATACCTCAGACATATAACAACTTAACTTTCTCTCCTATCCCTTCTCTTAAAAGAGCAAGAGACAACCCATTTTCTACCTGAAAAACTCCTGTGTGGCTATCAATAGCCATCAAATGCCAAGCCTCTTCGAATTTACATAAAGGACAAAAACTCAGTGAAGATCTTATGATTAAATGAAAGCCAATGCTGTGGTTACAAAGTGTTAAGAGCATTCTCTTCCTTGTAAAACTCAGAATACTTACAGAAAAGAGTTATAGTTGCTAAGAGATGGCTAGGGAATTCCTTCAACTAAGAAATTATTAAGGCTTTGTGGTTCAGAACAAATCTAATTGAAAATAAGGGGCTAAAGAGTAGTTAGCAGTTTCTTTGGGATCTAGTTTATTCCACAAACTACAACAATAAAAAAAAATGTATGTAAATTAAAAGAATTCAAAGAAAATTTGGAGTGATAAGCAGTTTGATACCCATGAAATAGTCTATTCTATAAAACTGGTCAGAGCCAAAATAGTTTACCTCTCTTGAAGAAATCATGAAATTGATAAAACTCTCACTGAGAAGAGAACAAACATTAACTGAACACTTTAAAACTTGTCACACGCTAAGTGGCATATTACACATAGTGTCTCATTTAATTCTCAATAATGCAAGGCCAGTATTATCATTATATCCATTGTACTGATTAAGGCCTGGAAAGGCTTATCTTTCTAGGTGAATAAGTGCTTGTTCTTTCCACTAAAATGTCACAATCCCTTTTGTCCTAAGGGTTATAATGTAAACTTTTGGAGAAGCAGTAAATAAAAACTGCTTGTCAAAAATAAAAGACTTTCAGTAACATAATAGAATTTTTATAACTTCTCTGAAGCAAAGAAAATGGTGGGCAACATTACAGCAGTTCTTGAAAACTTGATGGTCACTAAAAGACCATTCTTTTATTTGACAGGTGTTGTTGAGACTATGCAGGCTTAAGTTTGAGTGCAGGGGATACAGAGTTCCTGCTCTCATTGAGCTTACATTTAATAAGAGACAAAACAATAAAAAACAGATGTGTGATGTGTCAGTTGGTGATAAGTCCATGGGGGGAAAGAATAAAGCAAGGTAAGGAGTCAAGAGTAACAAATATGCATTATCAGATCAGGAGGTCAGGGCAAGCCTTTAGAATGGTATCCAGAGATTTAAGGGCATCAGATCAGCAATGTCCTTTGTCCACTGCTCCCACTTATGGCAAAATAGTTCTGTGCTGGCACTAATGCCACTCCCAGAAAAAACTGGTTGGCACTGTCTCTGCAGAAGCTCCCGGCTCAGAACTGTATGTGGGACAGTTATTTCATTAACAGTGGTATAGTGATGAAAACAAACAAACAACAATCTTTTTGCTACCTTGGCCTAAGTACAGTCCTGCTATATCCATTCTACTCTGCTAACTACGGGGTGTTACAAGGTTCTAGTCTGGAGAAGTGCAGGTCTGAGGTGGGTCAGTAACTAGGGTACATGCTTTTTGGGTAAGGGGAAACAGGCTGCCACACAGGAGGTGTCCAAGACGTATAAACGTTTTTAGCTTCAAAAAAGCCAGCTGCTCTGGTCCACAGGGCACAGACACTGAGGGGCCCGTGGCTCGCGTTCTGCAGGAATTTCTGCACCTTGTCCCTGACTCCACCCCCACCTCACATGTTTAGGTTCCGTGCTACTCAATCACCTTCCTGCTCAAATTTCTTGCTGTATGTGAGCAGGGCAGTATACAGCAAGTAGCTAGAGCCAGGTGTTGGCTGCATACACCAGTAATGCCACCACTTGGGTAATGGGAGAAGAAAATATGATCCGAGCAGGATTGGCTTTGATGCTGCAGCTGGTATCGCCGTCTCTTGGGCAGAGGGAGATGAGAAGTTACTGACAGCATGTATTCAAAACCTGCAAAGCACAACTCTCCCTGTGGTAGAAACTTTGTTTTGTTCATTGCCATACTGGGTTGTAAATACTGTCTGGCACATAGTTGGCACTCAGAAAATATCTGTTGAATGGATGAGTTATTCTCTGCAATAGTAAAAATACAAACTCCTTAGCATGCCTTGAATGGTTTGGTTCCTGCCTACCTCTCCAAACCCAGATCAAGACACTCCTATCTTCATTCAACTATTGTGGCTCCAGTAACAGTCTTTCTTCAGCTTCTCAAACATGCCAAGCTCCTGGGCCTATTTACATGGAACACTTCCCTTCACCCTCAAGATGGCTTCTTTTCATCCTTCAAGCTTTTTATTAAATGTCACCCCCTTTGAAGGGCCTGGTCTGATCTTACCATCTAAAGGAAATGCAGACTAATGCTCTCCTCAGTATTCTCGTTTCCTTCATAGCACTTAACGTGATTTAGAATTCGTCTACATGCTTGCTTGTTAATGTTTTTTTTTAATCTACCTTCATAAGTAGACTGTGAGCTCCTGAGGGTGGGGGGAATATGTCAATTTTATAAATGTTATATTCCAGCACCTAGCACAGTACAGGATTCAACAAATGTTTGTTGAATAAAATGCAATGGAAATGGTAAAATGTTACACTTAGTTTGTGAGCATTGTACAGAATGCACTGGAGGAGGGACAGGCAAGAATAAAGAGACAAGTGTAGTGGCTCTGGTAAGATACAAGAGCCTATTTTAGGGTGGTGGCAATAGGAATGAAATGGGTAGGTGAACTTAACAAACCCTGCAAATTATGACAAGCTTCATTAGAGCTTTAAGATAATAAGTAAAAAGACGAAAGACAACAAGAATAGTAGAGGGCTCAAACCTGGGCATTGGGAGAATGGAAGCATTCTGAACAGAAATAGAACCGTCAAAAGAAGATTCTATAAATTGTGAGGCCCCAGGAAGAGTGTAGGTAAGTAGCTAAAGACCTTCGGGATTGGAGGTGCTGGTAAAATGCTGTTAATCTTTTAGGAAATGCCTGATAGCAATCTGGAAATGTGTTGTTTTCAGGTAGAGAGATCTTATCTAGAACAGAGTGGCTAGTTGAAGCTGTGAGTGTGACTTTCAGGTAAAGAGACTAAACAGAGAAGGAAGAGCTGACGAAAAGGAAAATCTTTGCTATGGTTGTTATAAAGTACGTCTATTATCTGCTTAGGCTTCTAATTTTCCCTGGTCTTTAAGCTGCTTCTACCCTATTCCTAGATCTACTTTAAAGAAAGTCAAACAAGAGAAAGGGTTTCACTGCTGACTCTTGGGTCTTCTCTTTGAGCTGCTTTGCTCCTCACAGAGATTTTTTTCCCTTCATCATCTTCTTTCACAAGTTTGTAAGGTTAAAAACAAATGAATGTTTTTAAAAAACCCTCAGATACAATAACAACTTAGAAATATTACCTATAATTATTATGTATATTGCTCCAAAACTATTTATAATCAAGTCTGACATTCTTGAATTTAAATGTTAATAAGATAATGAAATAAAAACATGACTTGAAAAGAAGTAGAAAGCTATTCAGATTCCTTGTTCTGCTATCCTTACTTAAGCATGACAATGGCTAAAAGATTTTAAATTGATGTAAAATACCAGCCCAGTGTAAATCTAGCTGGGCCAATTCAAACCATTCTGAATGTGAAGAACTGAGAAATTAAAATTGCAACTTTTTCTTCCCATTTGATTAAGCTACTGTAAAGTAAGATTCTGTTTATATAAATAAATGTTTTAATTAAATGAGGTGCTAATAATACAGTCAAGAATTAGAAAACAAAGTTTAGTAAAACAAAACAAACAAAGAAAAAACTCACAGCATGGATAACCATTAGAAGTAAAAGTTAAAATTAAAGCAATGATTTTTAGACTTGAAAGTGAAATACAATGTTAAACTAGAAAAAGTACAACATACTTGGGAAGACTGTCAGGTATTTACAAAAGTTAAAAACTAGTGGAAAATTACTGAAAATATTTTCTACTCTCAATATTTTCTAATAGTCGTTAAGATCAGTAAATAATTACCTTCAGGAAGAGAAAAAAATACCTCTATTAAGGCCAAAGGTGCTGAAATAAGAACAATCTGCGAAATTTGAGAGTACAATCAAAACCAGAAACTATATTCTACCTACAAAGCAATAAATATTTACATACAGGTGGAAAGAAGAAGCATCACCTTGGTCAGCAAATGAGAAGGTTTTCCTGCAATGTTTCTCAGAAGAAGGGAGGTTTCCCTGTCCAGATAGGAGTGCTTGTGTAGAAAGAGAGAGAAAAACAAAAAAAGGCAATAGAAGTCAGTGGAGGTTTTATGTGTTTAAAATATAAAATAGACAAAGCAAGAATGATTCTCTATTACTAATCTCGTATCTTTCCCCTAAACTCACTGAAATGTGTCCAAAAGAAAATTAAAAAAAAGAAAAGAAAAAGAAAAAGAAGGGGGGTGCACTATCTATGCCACAAGGTGTGTCCTAGCCGACGCCTGCTGATCCCTCACCTTGGGAAAATGGATCACACAACTGCACAGATCACAGAGCCAGTCTGTTTTCCAGGGCAGTATTTGTGCACACAGCACAAATAAATAGGTGTGAAAGATCAATGACTAAATAGATTCCTTCCTCTTATAAAGCCTACACAAGACCTATATAGCTTTAAATAGTATATTCTTATGAAAACAGAATAAGACTACATCAGTTTTAAAACTTCTGCCAAGTATTTCAATGGTAGCCACACCAAGAGGAAAAATGGCCATATTTTGCCTAATGAATATCACTTATTTTCAGTAAAATGTTATTAATTCATTCCTTATATCAGAATACTAATAAGACTGCATTGCACAGGAAGGAGCTTGTATAGCAAATGAATGATATGAACAAAATATTAAGAAGTGTTCCCTTAAACTGGTTAAATTAATTCAAACAATTAATATATTTTCATAAAAATGATTGTGAATAACAAAGCCCCTAACTATACTTTTCTCCCTTAATAACTTTTTAGTTAACACATTGTAAGGTAAGCTTATACAATTGATTCTAAACTCCTGTAGTATAAATTACAGCTATTTTGATATACTTGTATATGTAATTCAGACTTCCCTGTCCCTAAATAATTCTGAATTAGTATTTACTTTTAAGGATATGTAGTTACTAACCACCATTTAAATGGCACAACAATGCATTATAGAAAATATTCTATAATGTTATATTTTATAAATCTAACTGTATATCAAGTTATTCTTGAGAAAGATTCTTTTAATTAATGTAAACAAATACTATTGGGTTGTCAGAAAAGTCATGACATATTTTTGCAATGAAAAACATAGAAAAATACGTCATGACTTTTCCGACAACCCAACAGATAGAACAGCACCCACTCTCATAAAGTCTATTGTCGCAGATAATAAAACACACTACTTCAAGATTAGAAATAGTTACAGAAAGTAACATTAACTTAATATTTACTCCTATCTACACTATGTTGAGTTAGGTTTACTATGCATTTCATTACTTGTATTTGTTTAGCTTTGTTTTAATTCAAGATGAACCTTACAAGCACACCTCTCCCTTTCACCTACTCCTGGAAAAAAAAAAAAAGAAAGAAAGAAAGAAACCTACGGATAAAAAAAATTGGACATATTCATCAAGATTAGCACTAACAAGGTCACACAATAACAAGAACAGAGACGGTTATCCCTAGGTCATCATTTACCTATATGGTATAATTCTCATGAAGGTAAAGATTAATTGCTCATCCATAAAGACTCTAGGTAAGCAGAAAATTCTGAAAATACAATTTAATTTCAGGTTAACAATCAGTTAAGACTAGGGAGAAAATACGGAATGACAATTTAAAAGAGCAACTACAATTTTCATTTCTCTTATTTCCATTCATTTTTTGCTATTCACATGTAATGAGAAAAAAATATATTCTTACACAATTATGTAAAACATATAGAAAATGTCTTGAAAAACTTACTCCTATTTATCTTACTCATAAAACTTACTTTCTCAGGAAAGGTTCCCAAAATGAGTAGAATATCTATAGTTAATTATAATACAAATTAAAAGAAAAAATCTACTTCAGGCTATCGAAAGCTATTATTTGGTAAATATAATTCTAGACCTTAAATTCAAGTTTAAACTTTAAAAAAATCTTATAAGATTTACTCAATCAGACCTCATAAAAATAATCACCTCTAGACTTCCAATCACTAAAAACTCTACACTCTGATGAATAAGAAACAATAATATCTGGGGGCCGGCCAAGTGGCTCAGTTGGTTAAGAGTTTGCTTAAGAGTGCGGGCTCTGAGCAACAGGGCCACTGGTTTTATTCCCACATGGGCCAGTGAGATGTGCCCGAGCTGAGCTGCCGCTGAGCTGCCAACAGGTGGCAGGATGGCTCAGGTGGTGAGAGCACATGCTCCTAACAACAAGACTGCCTGTTCAATGGTGGGCTACACCCACTGGCAACTAAGACTGAACTCGGCACCTTGAGCGGAGCTGCCGCCCGGATGGCTCAGTGGATAGAGCGTGTGCTCTTAACAAGGATGCTGGTTCGACTCCTGCATGGGATAGTGGCTATGCCCACCCGCAACTAAGGTTGAACACAGCACCTAGAGCTTAGAGGCTAAGAGCTGCCGATGGGTAGCCAGGTGGAGACTGGAGCCCTCCACAACTAAGACTGAAGAACAACAACTTGGCTGGTCCCCTCCCCCAATTCTCCAATTAAAAAACAAACAAACCAGGGCAGGCCAAATGGCTCAGTTGGTTAAGAGCTCGCTCAAGAGTGCGAGCTCTGAGCAACAGTGGTTCGACGCCCGGCCCGAGCTGAGGTGAGCTGCTGCTGAGCTGCCAACAGGTGGCAGCATGGCTCAGCTAAAAGAAAAAAACAAAAACAAACAAACAAACAAAAAAACCCAAAAAACAATAATATCTAACTATTTGAAGACTCTAAAGTAGAAGTCAGCCATTTAAAAATATTAGGTTTAAATAGCTTAAAATAAAAAGGGGTAGTCATTATGGTTGGTAACCCAAAAATATGCCACATCTCAAGAGTGAGACCACAAACAATAGGTGGACATGATCAAAAATTACTTTGTGTTTGGGACAGTCATATAGCTAATCACTGCTTAATCACCAGCAGGGAGGGAGGCCAGGTCTCCATGTGTCCTCTATCTCAGCTATAAGAACTGTAGCAGAAAAAAACCCAAAAATCTAGAAATCAGAAGCAGCAAACTTCTCCCTTCAATAAATATCTTACTTTATCTACCTTCCCTACTGGTGCCTGTCCTACTTTGCTCTAGAATTCTTCAGAAAGACAGTGGGGATAGCGGGAGTACTGGAGAAAGATGCAAGAGGGGTGAGGAGAGTAGTGTGCAGTTGGAGGACTGAGACGTAAATACAAGACACAGTGGTTGGGGCACGTCGTTACATCAGCCTTCAGTCTTGGTACAGCTTACTTACTGGTAACAAAAAGGCACATAGCTTCACTTAAATGGGACCTTCTTATATTTTCTTTCATCCACCACTAACAACACAGAGTCAACAGGGTATTCTTAATCCATTTCACTGTTATTAGCCCATTTTCATTCTCTCTTCCATTTTCCCCTATCATTTATTCAACTATTTATTCTGTTTAAGCTTTGAGCCTGGAACCCTCCAGGCACTGGAGATGCACAAGTGACCAAGATAGGTATGCATTTCTTGCTGTCAACAAAGTTTAGAATCTAAAGAGAACTGACAACTACAGTACAATATGTTAAATGGTATGAGAGCAAGTAGGAAGTGGAGTAACTAATCCAAAATTAGGAGCTCAGTCAAGTATTTCTGAAAAAGCTTAGAGTCCTAGAGGATGAAGATGAGGCAGCTGGGGGTGGGGTCAGGTGGGGGGGTAGAGACAGTAAATAGAGATATCAGGGTTTCTCAAAGGGGATAGTGCTGCTCTCAAGGAGGCATTTCGGAGAAACATTGGGGATATTTTGTGTTGTCACAGTGGAATAGGGCATTACTGGTATTTATTGAGAGGGAAGTCAGGAAAGCTAGATGCTCCGCAAACATGGAACAATGTCACATAATAACAACAAAAGTCCCACATCTCACATGTATTTTTAATGTACTTATATGAAAATCATATAGATGGGTAATCCAGTTTATAATAATCTGAGTTTATAACCTAACTTGATTTTACATAGAAACACAAAGTATTTACGTATAATTTTAATATTCAATGACACTTCCAGGAATGCTATTTACCATTTAAAATAAATCGAGGGAAGCCTGCACTTTCTTTTGTTCAGAATTTACCAAGAGTTACTTGTTACGTTAGAAAATCATTTCAACAATGGAAACCTGGCTTGAAGTAAGAGTTGGCAATACCAAAACCGGCAGTATCAGATTGTACTGTCACATGCAAGTAAATGACAGGGGAGATTTGAAATTCCTTTTAACAGCATTAAGAACTAAATACTATTAAATTAATGACAAGACATGAAATGCAGGAATTTCACTGAGCTTCAATAATAAAGATTGTTTAAAAATACTTCACATTACCCTGTCTTATTTAAAATATTTATAGCACAATGAGAAATGTATATTGTAAAAAGTCAAATATCTAAATAATTTTATCACTACCTCATCCCAATGTTATAAGGCAGGGAATTATTGTAAAATTATAAGACACTGCTCATTTGCAAGAATTCTGTATTTCTTTATTTTCGTTTCTTTGACTGACTATAAATTGTCTCAGCACATTGTCCATATACTTCAGTTAAGAAGTATATTTCCTATTACCATATACAGGTATGTTTTATCTGCTACTGTTTATAATGCATTTTAATTCTGGGCCCACCCATATTTGCTTTCTTTTTCCTATAAAAAAAATCTTTTATCTCCCAACTTCTCTTAAATCCAGAGTTCTTAATTATAAGTGGGTGTCGGATGTGACTACTACATTGTGTCTTTTAATACAGTGGTGGCCAAGCATTTAAAAACTGAAATAGATACATTATTATACTATAAATTACTTTTTGGCTATTTCTCCTTCATGCTAGGTATTAGGGCATCCAATTCATCTTTTAAAAAGAGGTATGCAAGTTATATTATCTATCAATTTCATTTGGGATAGTAAAGATAGTGTTATAAATTATTTGTTATGAAATGGAGGTATCAGGACTAAAAAGTTTGAGAACTGCTGTTTGAGCAGAAGAAACAAGTACTATAGATGACAATGCAAGGAAGCATGGCTGATGCTTGTGAGTGTAGGGGAGGGGTTCGCGGTGAGGTTGGAGAAGTGTTTTTCACTATGCAGGATATATACCCATTAGTGGGTTGTGAAATCAATTCATTGGGTCACTGCCGTACTTTTTAAGGCTAGGAATGAAGAGAAGGAAGGAGAGAAGAAGCGAAGAAGAGAGGATTAGAGGAAATCTGATTTAGTTGGGTCAGGGTCAGGGGTTTGGTCTTTTTTTTTTTTTTTTTAAAGCTTCATAGCTAACTCTGAAGCAGCATTGACCAATGGAAATACAATACAAGCCACAAATGTAATTAAAATTATCTACAATAGTAGCCACATTTTTTTAAAAAAGTAAAAAGAAAACTGTAAAAAAGCTATTAGCATCTTTTATTTAACTGAAAATTTCCACATTATTATAATTTCAACAAGTAATCAACACAAAAAATATTACTATTTTACATCTTTTTTTATACTAAGTCTTCAAAGTCCAATGTGTATTTTATCTTTATAGCACATTTCAATTTGGATTAACTACATTTCAAGTGCTTAATAGCCATATATGGTTAGTGGCTACTGTACAGCAGCTCTGTGGCATCCACTGACCAGGTATCCACTGACCAGAGGATACATTTTTGAAGAACAAAATTAATAACTAACAAAATTAGTTAAGCTTATCAGTACAGAAGAGTCATTCTACTTGATATCCCCATTCTGACAAAAAAAGCTAAATTTGTTAATATCTTAGGCAATTTACAAAAGTCCTTAGCTTCGGAATAAAAAAGAAAGCATGTGGTTTCAGGTTCCAACACAAAACTTCTCTATATTAGATACGCTACCACCTATATAATCTTACCATGAGTATTAATATTCAATGGCACCGTACCATACAGTTGCTTATTTGTTTTTGCTCATTTGTTAAGCTTGGTTTAATTTTTATTTGTAAATTTGAGGCACATAACAAGGTTTCATGATCAAAAGTTCTAAAGAACTCATTTCTCTTCATTGATATTTGAACACTCCCACAGACATGTTTATAGAACTTACAGGTGTCAGCTCAGCCTGTTCTTCTGTGAAGTCAATATGATGCTTGACCTGCTTGCTGGGACATCTCAGAGAAATAGCATGCTGTGAAAATGCAGGAAGGAAGAAAATGGTAGGTAAAGGAGGTGGAAAAGGGCAGTTCTCATTATCATGCAGGAAGAGAAAAGATCACTGAAATGAATAATTGAAACAAAATGGTAATGAAAAGTTGCATGCACCTTTCATTATATTAATAAAAAAGGTAAGAACCAGATAATACTAACCCTTGATAATTTAAGGTTAACTTTACTTCTAGAAAGTAGAGCTCTATGGAGAACTATGCAGAAACACTGTCCATTACCAATTCATGCTTCTGATCCTCAATTGGGCCTTGACTGCTCTATTTTTTCTCCTCACTCTCTAAATCATTCCCTCTAAGCTTGTTCTAAGTACTGTATTTTGCTGTGTATAATGAACACTTTTTTGCCAAAATTTGTGAGAGAAAAATAAGGATGCACATTATACATGGGTAGTACTAATTCCATATCTATATAAATGTTTTTAATTCTTTTATTTATGCTTATGAGTTAAAAGTGTAACTCTAGAAATCAATAATGATATCTGTATGCAAAATAATGCCCTGGAATACAATAATCAGTTTTGTTGAACTTACAATGAATTTGCAACAATGAAGAGTTCTTGGCCTTCTATGATGAGTAAATATTATAAATTTGTTACCAGTACATAAAATTTCTTGTTCCTTGTATCTGTTCTTGTGTTTTGTAATTATTTGTTACATAAAATTTCTTGTACCATAATATGTTAAAAAATAAATGCTAAAATTCCTTTATAATAGAAAAACAAGTAACTAAATGTAAACAAATAAAAGTTTGAATTAAAGAATTAAAACAAAATATTTTTTTCCCTGAAAGTCTGGGCCAAAAACGTGGGTGTGCATTATACACAGGAGTGCATTATACACGACAAAATACGGTAGTTTCCAAGTTCTTCAAGCTTCTAATTTCACTCCCTTCCACCTCTTCATATGACCGCACTTCCTTCCATTACTAAGCAAACCATGTCCATCAGGATCTTCATCACTAAAATGTATCCTATAACTACACCCATATTCTTATCCTTCACTCCAGCTCTATATTAATAAATACATTTTTTCCCCTCCAAAAGCTAAGCATGTCCTAGATCCCACTCATTCCCTCTTTATTATCTCAGTCTCTGATACTCAACTAGTCCAATTTATTGGTGGGGGGAAAAAGAGAAAAATATTCAATTCTCCTGGGTACCATCCTCTTATTCAATTACTGTTTTCTCTTTTACACTGCCCAATTTCCGGAATTCAGCTATAGTGTACCTCCTCCACTTACACCTTAATTCCCTACAATCTAGCATACATCTTTCTTCTCCAAAGTCTTTATTCTTCGAGTTGTAATGCATTCTGTAACTCAATGACCTTTTAACCAAGAAGGTTTTCTCTTTCCTATCACAGTACTTACCTCAGTTTACTGAAATAGCTTGTTGGGTTATCAATATGTATTGACACCCCACTCCTCATACAATAAATTACAGCCTCATAAGGATAGTGTGTATTATGTTCACAGTTCTATCCCTTACAGGCCACTGCAGTGCCTAGGCACTCAACCATTTATGGACTGTATGAGTAACTATTTCTTCTTGGCCTTCATGCCACATGCTTGGCCAGATAAAGACTGTTCTTGCTTTCCCCCCTCTATATTTTCTCATTAAACATATTCTATAGCATTATGTCAATCACTGCATCAACGGGAGGCCTGTCAAACCTTTATTGCCAATATCCTCATTGTTAGGAAACAAAGACTGAAGTATTAAGGGCTAAAGAAGAATGATAAACGCAATCAACTCTCAAATGGTTCCAGAACAAAAATTTATGTGTAAAAACAATTGATAAAGTAAATGTGGCAAAATGTTAAAAATTAGTGAATCTGAATACACAATAAGTTTCATGAGTTCTTTGTACTACTAGTCTTTCCAATTTTTTAAAGTTTGACATTATTTCAAAATAAAAAGTTTTTAAAAATCTATTCTCAGGCCAGCTGAGTGGTTCAGTTAGTTAAGAGCTCACTCAAGAGTGTGAGCTCTGAGCAACAGGGTCGCCGGTTCGATTCCCAGCCCGAGCTGAGCTGCCAACAGCTGCCAACAGATGGCAGGATGGCTCAGCTAAATGAAAATAAATAAATAAATAAATAAATTTATTCTCTCCAGGCTCTCACACAAGTTCCCATCATATTTCCAAATGCTTATTGGTTAATTTTTTTAAAATCTAAAGTGTTCAAAAAAAGAGATGATTGCCTATGTACCTGTTCAACAGTATGATGGAACAGACGTGTTAAAATTCAACACATCCTGATAAAAAATGGACACATGTATGCAAAGTGACAAAAACAATAGAAAATAGTACATATGCAAACAAAGGTTAAATGTTACTACATCAATAAAGATGAAAAGGGGTTATGGCATGATATAAACAGTTTATTTAATGTTAATTAGGGTGTATTTCCACAAAATATTTAAATACTTTCCTACAAAAAAGTTTAGTGATCCATAACTTACTTTGCCGAGAACCTGAGTCTGTAACATATTAAAATGAAGTACCATTTACAAGCCAGAATCTTGGGCAGCGTGGGGGGTGTATATAGAAAAGCATCGATCAGAACACAGGAGCCAGACCATAAATCAAGAAATGGCCTTGCACCAAAGTCGTGGTTACAAAATAAAACACTTCCCTTTATTGTTAACCCCTTAGATTACAATTGGAAAAAAAGTAGAGGTTTGTGAACATACATTAGTGTTTCAGTAAAGCAGATTCACATCCATCTTTTATTGATATGTATATGCGCTTTTCACAAATATTAAAAATAAGCATAGCCTGGGCCGGCCAAGTGGCGCGTTGGTTAAGAGCTGGCTTGGGACGCCAGCCAGAGAGCCCTGCTTTGGATCCCACATATGAAGGCCAGTGACACTGCCCTCTACAGCTAAGCTGCTGAACAACAGCTCAACCTGGAGCTGGGCTGCTGTGGGTCGACGGCGATGGTGTGGGCTGCAGCCCCTATGGCAATGGGTTGCCATGGGCTACCGTGTGTAGCCAGCAGCCAGCGTGAGCAGCCAGCAGCCGCCGTGATTGGCCATCCAGAAGCCGGCCACTGATCTGCCTCACCCGGGAAGAGCGCAATGATGGTGCCAACTTGGGCCAGTGAAGCGACGTCCTCCACAACTAGACTGAAGAACAAAAGAACAGCAACTTGTCTGTTCCCCTTCCCCCAATTCCCCAGCACTGTTCCCATCCCCCAATTCCCCAATAAAAATCTTAAAAAAAAAAATAATAAGCATAGGCTGATGGTTAAGAATGTAGACCCAGGAGCTGGAGTGCCTAGGTTCTAACCCCAGCTCAGCCATTTACTGGCAATATGACTCTGAGCTTATTATTTAACCTGTTTCCTTGTGTGTGAAATGGGGTAATTAATAGCACTTATCTCCAAAGGTTGCTAAAATTAAAATTCTATTAGAATTCTATTAGAATTAGAATTCAGCCCTCATCTGAATTTTATTTATGCCTCAATACATTTAGATTAGAGCTAGTTTAGAGTTGTTAAATTTTAGCAATATATTCAGGAATATACTAAACCACCACAAGATGGGGATATTACTGCATAAATCTTTTTGTCTTTTTTCTCAGGCCCATGTAGTTCTGTCTATAGGCCTGGTTCTGAGAGCACTGGCCAGGCCAGCCGTGTCTTGATTGTCCTTCAATTCTATGATGAAGCAGCATGGTATTACAGTATGCTCTCTACAGCCAGACTGGGTTCAAATCCTTGGGAAAAGTATTTAGTCACTCTCTGTCTTAGTTCCTTTCACTGTAAAATAGAGATAGATAATGGTACCTATTCTACAAAGCACCGTGCAGATTCAGTATGTTATGATATGACATGTAAAGCGCAACGCCAACACAAAATAAGCACTTAATATAGTAGCTGCCATTGTTTTCTATTTTCCCCCCTCTTCTCTTTATTCCTCTCCTTTTAGTGACCACTATATAGTATCTGAATGCTTTTAAAACTATTTTATATTTTATAGTCCCTATTGATTTTAAAAACGGATGAATATATTTTTATTCTTGTTCAAAATAAAGTCCTTTATCAGCCCTCCAGCACATAACATAAAACATAAAAGAAATACAAAACAGGCTTTAAATAAAGATGCTTTTTTACCTCTTCAGAGAAGAAAAATTGCATATATTTCTAAGGAGTACACACAACAAGAATCAGGGCGCACATACCAGGGTTATTGGGGTGACGTGTTTGTAAATGAGAACCAGACTTTCCCCTGGCTTTTGCCAAATCTAGAGCTCTTCTTTCATCTGATACCTATTCCTTCCACTATTAACCTCAGGCTAGGCCAGCAAAATCTGGAATTAAACACCAAGTTGGTACATGTCAATAAATTTCTTTATTGACGCAGTCATTAGAATTTTAAGAGAAATGTAGCTGCAATAACTGAGAAACCAATAACCCCAACCTTTTAGATATGCAGGCCTCGAAGTTTCAGAAAGCTCTGTGCTCCCCACCCACTTAATACTACTCCAGGGTAAAAGGTTGTTTGCTAAGAATAATTCAATGGACTTCAACACCAGTGGGGACTTCCCCCTGATGTTACAATAAACACAATTGCTCTTTTATTTCTAATACCTCAAAGTTTCTGCACACATTAATTCTTGAAATAGTTCTGAAAAGTGAAAGGAGTGTAGGAATTGCACTGAAGCTATGATATGCTGTTGTATACCACAAGTTATAATATTGTATGCATAAAGATTTTAATAAAAATCCATATACATATGAGGAAAACCATTATAACATTCAAAAGTTTCAGATACTATGAAATATTCCCTATCATAATATTTATAATATAATCATCAACTATACTTAAGATTCAGCAAAACCTTTTGAATCTGCTGTAAACTACAGTAATAGCTTTTAAAAGCATTTCCATTTAAAAAATACATTTTTATGAATAAAATTCCAAATTCAAAGGAATCATTCCAGTTTAAATCCCAGTAG